CCTGGTACCTATGTTCCCCTGGTACCCATGTTCTCTCTGTACCCATGTTCTCTCTGTACCTATGTTCCCCTGGTACCCATGTTCTCTCTGTACCCATGTTCCCTCTGTACCTATGTTCCCCTGGTACCCATGTTCCCTCTGTACCTATGTTCCCCTGGTACCTATGTTACCTGGTACCTATGTTCCCTGGTACCTATGTTCCCTGGTACATATGTTCCCTCTGTACCTATGTTCCCTGGTACCTACAGTATGTTCCCTCTGTACCTATGTTCCCCTGGTACCCATGTTCCCTCTGTACCTATATTCCCCTGGTGCCTTTGTTCCCCAGTACCTATTGGCACTTGGGGATGTAAGTAGTGGACAACATAAGTATCAGGGAACATACTGTAGATACTGGGAAACATGGGTATCAGGAAACATAGGCTCTGGGAATCAGGATCTGAGGAACATAGGTATTGGGGAAGATAGACATCGGGGAACACAGGTACTCAGGAACAGGTTCTAAGAAACATAGGTACCGGAGAACATAGGTATTGGGTAACATAGGTACTGAGAAACACTTTAAACCAAATCTTTTGATATTACTTGTCTTTATTTTAGTGCTTCTTTGGATGAAGGAAGTAGCGGAGCATCAGTGCTGAGTGGACAGGTACAAAGTCTGCAAAACTCAAAYTCACATACTGTTTTTAATGCTAAAATGTCTGTCATAAGATAGTAACTCACTGAGCTGAGACAGTTGGTGACTGTTGTCGAGCAGCATTCACCAGGAAGTCACTGGATTGTCTCACAGTGTTGGATGTAGTTTCCTGGCCTGGGTCTCAAGAGCTTATAATTTTGTCAGCTGAATKTTGTACATCTTGAAAAATCTTATGCAAGAAATATTCTCTCAAAAGAAGTCACAGAGCTGGCATCTTGAACCCATCATGAACTTTTCTTGATTTTGTTGCAAGCTTCACTGTACTACTTAACTCCTGAGCTCTCCGAAAACAGAAATGTTCAAGACTAAAAAAAAAAATTGATGATAAATATTGAGTWTTTTGTAAAAAGTGAAGTAAACAAAATCCTAAATGATAGGGAGGCTGACAAAGTGGATACAATCCAAGGCAGGTATGATGTGGATGGCGGTGCATATTATTTAAATTCAATTCAATTCAGTTTATTTATATACAACACTCACAACAACTGTTGTCTCAGGGCACTGTACAAACAAACAAACAAACAAACAAACAAACAAACAAACAAACAAACAAACAACAATAAATCTAAAGAAACCAGCAGACTGCACCAAATCTTTGCTTCATCACAGTCTCCCATCCTGAGCAGCACTCCGGCAGCAGCGGAGAGGAAAAACTCCTCCTTAACAGGAAGAAACCTCCAGAATAACCAGGCTCAGGACAGGCAGCCATCTGCCTGGGTTTGGGGACAGGAAAGAGACACAGACAAACACAGGACTGGTCCAGGTGTATTTTCCTCTGGAAGAGAGACAAAGAAAACACATGCTATTGATAGAATTAATTATACCAAACGTAGAGTAGAGTGACTAAAGATAATAGCAGAGTGAGGAAATGTGGTCAGTTTGTCCTCCAGCAGTCTAAGTCTGTAGCAGCATAACTAACTAACTAACTAACTAACTAACTAACTAACTAACTAACTAACTAACTAACTAACGAACAACTCAGGAAACCTAAGTCTAACAGAATTTATCAAAAAGGAAAGTCTTCAGTCTAATCTTGAAAGTAGACAGAGTGTCAGCCTCACGGACAGAAACTGGAAGTTGGTTCCACAAGAGAGGAGCTTGATAACTGAAAGCTCTGCCTCCCATTCTACTTTTAGAAACTCCAGGAACCACAAGTAAACCTGCAGTCTGAGAACATGTTATATTAGGATGTCACAAATATGAAAAAGAGAGACGATTCATGAGTAGAGAGTTTGAAAGTATTAAGGAAAAGATTAATTTGTCAAATATTTTGAGGAAGAATTTGGGGAGTAAACATATGCTAATAGTTATTCAATTTTTAAAGAAAACTATATTATTTCATAGAATTTGATTATAGTAGGTGTTTGTGTGAATGTGTAATACAGAAGGATAATATACAATGT